TGATTTGACCGAAATGTCTAATTTATTTTCTCACTAATGATTAATTATTATCACGCTATTGTTTAGAGCTATGTTAATATAGACGCTTATCTACTTATCATATTTATAAAAGGTTCAGCTCACCTTTCAATAACGAAAAGAAATGAAAGCACAATTAAGGCTCTCTGAATAAAAACAGTAGACTCTGGCCGACTTTAAATTTTGAACTAAATCTATGAGAGTAGACTGAGAATTACTCGTATTTCATTTTACCTCGAATAAATTTTTGAAGTAAAAATTAGACATGTCCCAATGCATTAGATACTTCAGCTTCTTCAGAGTATATCAACGAATATTTATCTCAAAATTCGAGGTTGGTCGGGATAGTCCGTTTTAATTCTGAGTGTTTTAATTATATAATTAATAAGCTCTTCAAAGCCACCAACAATAAAATTTTTGTGGCAAATAAAATTTTTCGGTGAAAACAAAACTGTTAGATAAGACATACACTCGTGTTCGAAAGTTCGAGAACATGCACATTTTCACTAAGTGAGGGAAATAGTGAGTCAAATTAAGTGAAATTTTTTATGAAATAACATGAAAGCATGACAAGCACTAATAACAAAAGAATAAGAGCAAGAACTTAAGATCATAAATTGCTAGACATCGCAATAAGACAGCCCAAAAAATGATGTATTAAAATAGATATTCTGTGGAGTGTTTAATATGAGGTTTAACCCATCCTGATAGCAATGCAGATATCCCAACGATCTCTCATGTTATGCAGACAAATGTTTTGGAACAAAAGGTTATATTCCTCACTCAGAGCAGCTCTGTATCTTTTTGAGTAAGAGGTTTCTGGAAAAAAGATGGCCAATAGCAATGCTTTGACAAGAGTTACCCAGACATACTGTATGGGATTTAGGTTTGGAGATCTGGCTCGTCACTTCATCCTCTGAATATTTTCGGCTTAAATATATTTCTCGACCAGACTACCCCTTTGTGGATACCCCTGTCATCCACAGAAATGAATTGGGGACCAACATCGCCGTCTCTGGACAAACTTGCACAGGTCTCGCCTCTAATATATATATAGCTTATGGGCTGCAATAGTGGCACAACTCAAAACTCAGTTTTGGACTAAGAACAGGTGTAAATAGGAAAATACACATTCTTTCAGCAGCAATACTTGCACAACTCATAATTCAACTTGAAGGTAATCTTCGTTTAAGCAAACTAAAGCATTTCCTATGCATTTTGCATAGCAATGAAAACTTGTAACGGTCGTGTAAGCTGTTTGTGTCTTATCCGTCAATACTAACTGAAAACTTTAAAATGTGAAAAACACAACTTTTCGAATTTTCTTTTTTATCGGCAATTATTCATCCAGTTTCGTTCAAATTTTAATCTAATTTATATTGATTAGCTAATCATTAAAAAAGGTTTAAAAAAATATTTAAATGTATCAATGGAAAATAATAAAAAGAAAGAAAACCCAAAGATACTTAGGCCTTAAGATACACCACAAAAACAGACAAAAGGTAATTTAAAATTTTTTAATCATTATAAACACCGATTATCTTCAGAAAGAAAGTGGGCCATTCCAAATTGCCATTAAAGGGTTACCTCCAGCTAACTAAAAGAAAGTGTTGATTCATGGTCCTAATCGAATGGCATGTCTTAAGTAAGGGCGTTCCAAATGAAAACGACCGTGTGAGCTGCACGTGTCTTATCTAGTGGTCCACAACCCTATCCTCTATACACAGAAACCTTGATGGAAACATCATTAGAAAGCCTGTACCTGATTCTGTCGCAGAAAAGGCCTTCAGGGTGTACGAGCAGAAAGGGGGGACGACAGAGAATGGATTCCAAGTTATTAATCTACTGTTATAGAGCAAGAGACATGTAATCACGGTTAGACATTAATATTTAAGTGATGTGCTGCATTTGCGCTACTATGACATGGTAGCCTTGTTTAGGTATTGCTGACATCCCCCCCCCCTATCATATGAAGAAGTGGTTAGTTATTAAATTGTATCCTATTGAAATGATGGTTCGGTCAAGATTAGATGACAATATCTTTAAAAATACTTCTAGTGTACTTGTGGTTAAAATAATTCGTAGCTAGAGTTTTAATAAGACAAGTTAAGTGACGGGAAATAGCGACGATGAATAGGTTTAATTACGAAAGTGGTTACTTTGTTTATTAAAACTATCTTATTGCAAGAGGTTGACTTTTATTTGAAAATAGTGTATTGTTTTTAATGAAGAAGTTGGACTTTTATTGGAATTTAGAGAGTAAAATTAATGCTTCATAGTTTTATGGTTTAAAATTTTTCTTGCAGTTTTGATATACATAAAGTTATTCTGTTCAGTGTTCTTTCTATGCAGAGTCTAAGATATGACGAAGCTTGAGGATCAAAATCAGTATTTATTGTACACTATTTTACAATAGTAGAAAAGACACTTTCAGTATTTTACATTAATACGAAACACTTTTTTTATATAATTGTTTTAAGTAATAGATACAAGTTACAAGCTTATTGCTTGATTTTCTGGCACAGTGCTGACATGAAATATCCTCAGTGGTAGACGGATCATGGGGTTAGTTCCATAAAAAAAATCCTCCACGAATTCAAGTTTCTCCCAATACTTGATCCAGGAGCTCCCTTGTCTTCTGGATTGGGTTTAAAATTACAAGGCTACGGAGTTGAACATTAGTAGTCGTAAACCCAAAAAATTGGGTCGGCTGTTCAACGACGGTTATAAAAAAAATCGTATGAACTAAACACCTCTAGCGGGTCCCACGGTCCTTGAAAAGTTTTAGTCGTGGTAGTAAATTTAATTTAATGTTAGACGATATTTCTTATTTTTATATACCGCTTTACTGTGAAGTGGCTTAGAAGTTGAAAGTTTCATGCATATATATTTTCTTTGGAAACAAATTTTATTGGTGGTTACACTAAAATTAAAATATCGACTTTTGCTTTATTTTCGTTACCACTATTTAAAATTTCCAAGGCCCGTGGGAGCCCTGTCTAAAGTTATAATGTTGTTGTAGTTCATTTACGTCACACTAGAGCTGCACAATGGGCTATTGGCGACGGTCTGGGAAATATCCCTGAGGATGATCCGAAGACATACCATCACAATTTTGTGATCCTCTGCAGAGGGGATGGCTCCCCTGCTTTGGTAGAACGACGACCTACACGCGAAGTCTAGCACTTTACGGTAGAACAGTTTAACGAGGAACAAAACCGCACACCCTCGGTCCCTACGCAGACTAAGCCAAGTGGTCACCCATCCGCACACTGACCGCAGCCAGTGATGCTTGACTTCGGTGATCTGGTGGGAACCGTGTGTCTAAAGTTATAAAATAATCATCTTAAGTATTTCTTGAGAAATTTTTTTAAAAAAAAAATGTCAAAAACTGAAAATGTCTCTTCCATTATTGTAAGGTAGTGTATAAAATTTACAGATTGCTTTGCCGTTAAATAAAAACATAACAGTTGTAGAAAACTAAATATCAACAACAAAGTTATTAAAACTCGTTAAAACTTGGAACGAACCCGTTGTCACTTACCACTGCATTTCTTCTCTCTACCAGACTCATCTTTTTCCCTCTCCGTCGAGCTGGTTTTTATAACATGATTTAAAGATGTTCCCACTTTAGAAGATATAACTCAGAAGGAAAAGTTGATTTTACAATGAATTTGCATTACACGTAAAACATTTCCGACAAAATCTTCATAAATAAGGAATGCTGCACTCGGAGCTTAGCTATCATAAACTTGAAAAAGCGGGATTTTCGAGTGGTCTGAAAAATGTAGAAAAGTTAAGGAACAATATAGCACCTATGTTGTTCAATGCATTTATAACTAAATTTAAATAGATTGCGTTTCGATTTCACTGCAATATCGTTATAAAATTACATTACAACCCAATAAAATAATATTAATTTTTGGTTTTTCTTATTTAGGAAAAACTAAGTGGATATGTTGTCGCTAAAGAGAAGAAGTCTGCTGTTCTGTAGATTATCAAACTAATACATAGATTAGTTAGGGTTACCGGTTAAAGCGCCAAAAATTGATTCATTTCTCTAGTTATTTCTCTTTCATTTCTCTAGGTAATCTGCCAACTACCTAGATAATCTGCAAACTACCATGATAATCTGCAAACTACCATGATAATCTGCAAACTACCTAGATAATCTGCCAACTACCTAGATAATCTGCCAACTACCTAGATAATCTGCAAACTACCTAGATAATCTGCAAACTACCTAGGTATTCTGCAAACTACCTAGATAATCTGCCAACTACCTAGATAATCTGCCAACTACCTAGATAATCTGCAAACTACCTAGATAATCTGCAAACTACCTACGAATCTCTCATTGGAGTGAAGAAAAAAAACTTTTGCTGGAATAGCAAACAACATTTCTGAATGCTTAAATGAAAATAATTTCTTATTTTATTTTTCGTTATCTAAAAAATCAAGCTACTACAGTCAAAACATTAATTGATTTACTCAATTATATCAGTTTAAAAACTATTATACCAAGAATCAAACTGTTAAAAATATTATTACAATTAATGTAATTAACGTTTTGTTACTTGTCTATTTTTCAATATCTAAAGAACGAGACAGAACAATTACCAAATCAGTTGATATAATGAGAAAAGCAAACTTTTGAACTTTGTGGGAGTCGTTAATGTTCACTTTACCTTACTATATGGGAGCCGTTGATGTTCACTTTACCTAGATAAAATGCGGGTAACTCTTATATTTGCTCTTAAACGGAGCAAATCAATCAATCTTCAGATTAGATAAGTAATGAGAACATAAACAGCTTTCAAGCTTTAACAGTAATACATACAATATAGTAATGATTACGAACGAAAAATAAATTACATAACACATCACTCAATAAGTCTTCAGTTTAGCTAAGAAAAGAAAACTTTTTTTTTTAGAAATTCGATTTTATTCGCCAACAACATTTCAAGAAAGATACATTCATTTCAACGCTCGTCTAACTTTTCGATGTCATTTTTGAAGAACGATTTGTCTTTGCTCTCAAAATAAGCCTCATTTTCAAAAACAACTTCTTCATTTCTCCCAAATTTCTTTTCCTGGCGCACCTTTTTAGCATCTGCAAAGTGCCAGTAGTCTCTATGGGACAGATCTGGAGAGTATGGTGGGTAGGGAAGTAATTCAAAGTGTAATTCATTAAGTTTAACTATTGTTTTCTCCGATTTGGGACAAGGGGCACTGTCTTGGTGAAACAGAACTTTTTTTCTTCGAACGTGAGGCCATTTTTCCTTGATTTCCTCGCTCAGTTGATCCAATAATGGCGTGTAATATTCGCTATTAATAGTTTCATCTTTTTCAAGGTAGTTCATGGACAGAATACCATGCACGTCCCAAAATACGGAGACCATAACCTTACCTGCTGACTTTTTAGTTTTCGGTCGCTTATGAACGACTTTCACCGGCTGCTGTCCACTCAGCTGAAGATCTTATTTAGTCAGGAGAGTAGTAGTGTATCCGTGTTTCATCCATTGTCACATTACGACGAGAGATATCCCTTTTATATCGCTTTAAAAGTTCCAAACAGCATTCTGAATGGTCGACACGTTGTCTTTTTGGTTCTGTGTGAATAAACACGGCACCCATTTCGAACTTGGGCATGACCAAGTGTATGCTGTAAACAGACTATCTTCTTTAAGATGTCTGCTATCTCACACAATTTCACTTTACGGTTTATTAAGATTATTATATGAACTTTTTTGATATTTTCTGGTACAACTTTGGACGACCAGAGCGTTCGGTATCATCAGTGTCTTTACGACGCGTTTAAATTCAGCATACTAGTCAATAATAGTTGATTTCCTTAATGCAAAGTCTCCATAACACTTATCAAGCCGCTGTTTTGCTTCAACAGTATTTTTTCCCATCAAAAAGCAATGCTTAATCAAAACACGAGATTCTTTTTTATCCATTGTTTTAAAAATTACAAAACTAGGTTCGCGAACACCACCTGTAACCTCTAAACTAATAACGGGAATGTCACGAAATGTTGACAATTATCGTTTGAAAGTTGCTACTATTCATAAATCATATGGTTCTGTTAGCAGTGGGGCCAGTTATGTGTTAGATCGGAGACTTACTGAATGGTGTGTAATTTCTTATATTTGCTGCTATTTTATAAAATATTTAATTACCGCACTAACCCTGTTTCAAGTCCCCTGTGGTTTATTAAGATGCAATAAACTAAACTGGTTTGTTGTGTTTATGAGTAATAACTCCAAATGAATTAAAGAGGCCCATGGTTGATATGGGGATACAGGGCTAACCCCCCAATGAGGTGAAATGGGTTCGAATCCCAGCGACGGCTGGTGGACATAAATTCCGCACCCGGCTATGCAGTGCAGTAGTAAAATATCTCCAGTGGTAGACGGATCATGGGTTTGCCCGTCTGGCTAACCATTGGAGGCTTCCATGGTTTTCTTCTCCATGTAATGCAAATGTGAGTTAGTTCCATCAAAAAGTCCTCCACGAAGGCAAATTTCTCTCAATGCTTGATCCAGGAGTTCCTTTGTCTTTCTTCCTCGTTAGGTTCAAAATTACAAGATTACGGAGTTGAGCATTGGTATTCGTTAACTTAAAAATTGGTACGGCTGTTTAACGTTATAAAATAGAAATAAATTAAAAAGTGATCGATTGCGTTGTACTTCTATAAGGTTCATCATCGGGATAGCAGTTGTACAGAGATTTTCTTTTATTGAGAATAAACAGTCTTCGAAGATATCTAACAGAAACATTGTACCCCAAATAAATTATTTGTTACGTTTCATTCCTTTTGGCTTGAGGCCGTCTCCTGCAGCCTCAGCTAATGAAACAGTAGGGGAGATAATCCTCGAATTGGCTGTTCTTCAGTTCCTGGAGTTCATTCAGTATTAATCCGGAGGTAGAGGTGAGGAAATCCACGGATGTCTGTGTGGAACAATCCTGTTTTCTTTTGTCAATAAAAGAGGAAGACTTTTGTATTGGTGTGATCTTACAAATCGTTGTCTTTCATCGAAGCACTTTGGTTGTTTTTCGAGTATTTCTTTATTCAAAATTTTGCAAAAGCCTCGGGAGAACATATCGCTCGGGAGAACATTGGTTGCAATAGCAGCACAACTTAAAAAGTCAAGTTTAGAGATGAATGGGTTTAAAGTTTTCATTGCTAAGCAAAATGCATACGAAATGCTTTAGTTTGCTTAAACGAAGATTATCTTCAAGTTGAATAATGAGTTGTACTATTATTGCTGCTGAAAGAAAGAGTATTTTTTTTTTGCACCTGTTCTTAGTTCCAAAATCGTGTTTTTTGAGTTGTGTCACTATTGCAGCCCATGAGTGATAGGAGTGTTGGAAATACCAATGCCAAGGCTAGACTTAACTTTGACCGTCTAAATACTGGCTTGCTTATTACCTAAATGTAATAGGTTTTAACATATAAGCTCTAGTGATCCAGGATCCAGGGATGTTGCTAACATAACAAAACAAACTATTCATTTACAATAAGTAACACATCGAATTTCCTGATCTAGTTGCTTTGGTAACAGAATAATAAAAGAGATCATATTTATATAGGAGTAACATATTTGATATTTGGGAAGAGCGTTGTTTTTACTATATATTTGGGTCTTCTCGTAGAAAAAAAAAAATATTTGTCATTTGTTTTATAAATACGATGTCTTCGAACTTTTTAAGATTGATATTAAGTATAATTAGCAGTATGGTAATGTCAAACTGAAATGCAATGTTATAAAGAACGTTTTGTTTCTTTTAAATTCTATAATACTGCAATTTCTTTAAAATTAATAATATTTGTTCATTGCAGTTTGATTGTTTTACTTCGTCCTATTTCTAAAATTAAATTGCATATTTGAAAGCTTTCAATATTATAAATGAAAAAGTGTGGATAATATTAAAATAAGTTTTTTTTTTCTGAAAATATCAAAAATTATTTATTAAAATAAAATATTTACCATATATAATATTTTGTATTCCCAACTAATCTCAATTATAGTGAATTTATCTAACTTAAATAGCTTTAACTCTTATTTTTGTAATACTGATAAGATGATGCAATTAAAGACAAGATTATGGCAATTTGAAAAAATTTAAAATTCGACCAAAAATATTAATGCTATTTAAATGAATTTTGTTGATTTGATTTTTATAGCATATTTTTTATCAATTAAACACATTTTTACTCAATTTAGTATTTCAAAAATTATACAGTAATTTTAAAACATTTTCCGAATTTGTTATTTGCACCTAAAACTTTAACTAAGATTTGATTTTAAATTTAATTAATTGTACTTAGTTTTAGCAATTGTTTATTATAAAAGATAAAATAACACTTGGCATTGGAAGAAAAAAAAATTGAACTATTGGGGGAAAAAAGAACTTTTTCTTTTAACATTGTTAATAATATTCATAATAATTGAAATCACTAATCAGATCAATCTTTAAATCTTCAGCTACAAAAAGAAAAAAAAGAAGCTTTTTTTGGGTCGGAAATTCGAAAAGAAATCCGACGGAGACATCCTATGATGCCAAGTTAAGATACTATGATGCAAAGCTATTCAGGAATACGTGATTATATATTTTTTAAATGTTTTTGTTAAAGAAAAGAAAACATTATTATAATCTTAATACGAAACAATAAACACCAATCATAATTTGTAATGTTTTTAAAATAGAGCTTTTCAAACTTTTTTTTTTCTTATCCTCTAACAAAATAATAGAAACCGATAATTTCTTTTCCGCGATTAAAAAGACAGGAAAATGAAATAGTACCCAAGTTTTCTAAAGACGCTCTTTTCAGCCATTAGCAAACGATTTCCGTTCACCTGCTCAATTACCAGAAAATTTGTACCCTAAATTTACCCCAATTTAAAGCATATATAGTCACCAAAACCAGAACTACCCCCTCCTCATCCTCAAGTTACCTGCATCAGAATAAAACAAAGAAAATTAAAAGAAAGAAAAAGGACATCGCGAATAAACCCAAGGTCGATCCCACGCCGAAAAAAAAAAAGAATAAAACAAGTGAACGATAGTTTGTCGAACAACTACGTTAGTTGCGTTAAATCGAAACTTAATGTACGGACAATTTGACAATGGTAAATTTATGATGAACTAAAATTCTGCGCATAAGTGTGCAAATAACAATAAAAAAAAAACTAAGCGTTGATGTTTATGATTGGCGATAAAACCCAGCTTTTTTGGCCTTATGCATCATCTGTCTTCTTCTTTGACACGTTCAGAATAGATAACTGCTTACATATTTCCCTGGCGTGAAAATTTGATTGTGACGGGCGATAAGTTGCCAAATAATAAGATTTACAAAATCAACATTTTTAGAATGAAGAAGTCGACCTAGCAACGACATATTTGGTCACAGAAAGACAACTCCTATTCCAATATTAAAATGGCGATTTTCTAAAGCTTATTTCTGTCCTTTAGTTTTTTTGAATACTTTTTATTCTCTCTTAGATCTTTTTATGTCTCGTTAAAATTATGATTCAGGTTCTTAAATAATTTATATTGTTTATTTTAAATCAATAATTTTGTATTACTATTATACATTTTTATTAAAATATTTTTTCTTTGCCAAAAATATACCCCCCCCCCCNCCCCCCCCCCCCGAAAAAAAGCATGCATTTTTCTCTTCTTTTTTTTTTCAAATAACGCGTTTAACAATCAAATTCTTGGTAATGTATGTAAAACCTATATTTAAACATCAAACTTAGAAATTCTAAATCTGAGAAATAACTAAATCTTTTTTTCAAAACCTTATTTTTGTTTGTCACTTCTATTTTTAATGATGACTTTAAATTTTTTTATAGAAATTTATTCATTTTTATTGTTATATATTCATAAATTATGCATTACTTTTTTTTAAGCTCATATTAAAATTGCAAAATTTAAATACTTTTTTTCTAAGAAACAACTAAATCGATTTTCAAAAATGTATTTTTGTTTGATTTCTTTACTTTGATTTGATTGAAATTAAAATATTGAAATTATAAGATGTAGAACTGAGAAATAACTGAATCGATTTTCACAAACTTATTTTTGTTTGAATTCTTTAATTCCTTGATTAAAATTTAAGAGAGTGAAATTATTGATATTGAGATTATTTTTATTTTATTTTACCATTATTGCTTTTTTAAAAAAATAAAAAAAAAATTTGCAAAAGTTATATTTTAAAGATATATTAGGAGTATTTCGTCCAACAATCAGATTTGCAATAATATCAGTAAATATAAACATTAACAAAAAAACGTATTCAATAAATATATTTTTCCTTGTTTTATACAATGCCTATCACAGCTTTAATTTAATGCAACATCTTTATTTTTCTATTTTTCTCATTTTATTA